CTAAGACGGGACTAGAACTCCCAGTATCCTGTTCACTGCCCCAAATTCACCCAGTCGCTTTCATGTCTAAGATGGGACTAGAACTCCCAGTCTCCCAGTTTCTAGCCTGCCTCCTTAACCGTTAGACCAAACTGGCTCTTATTTGCGATGGATTCATTTGCACGAAGAAGCACACAGTTTCTGTTCCTTGACACCTTCAACCCAAACCGGTCCCAGCTAGGACCTGCTCTCCCTTGTGATGAAGGACCGAGTTCAGGTTCTGAATCCTGGCACAGAAGGAATCTACGGAGGGCCCCCTTGTACCTGTGAAAAAAGGCTTGCAAAGAGGAGGCAAAGGATGAAGCGCTTGGAGGTTGGAGGTTGAAGTGATGCAAGGGAGAGAACTCACCATATCAGTCCCCAAGTCAATGCAAAGGATAGTGATGGTGCCCAGAGGCAGCGGGATGTTGGCCATGATGAAGAGCAGAAAAGGAGTAATTTCTGGGATGTTGCTGGTCAAGGTGTAGGCGATGGATTTCTTCAGGTTGTCAAAAATTAGGCGTCCTGGTGAGACAAATGGGGAAAGAATGAGAATCAGGAGGAGTAGCCTTCACATAAAGTCAATCCCGGTCGGATTTCTGCTCCATTGGTACAATAGCAATAGCCCTTAGACGTATATACCGCTTCACAGTGCTTTGCGGCCCTCTCTAAGCAGTTTACAGCGTCAGCATAATTGCCCCCAACAATCTGGGTCCTCCTTTTACCGACCTCGGAAGGATGGAAGGCTGAGTCAACCTTGAGATGATCAGAATCGAACCGCTGGCAGTCGGCAGAGTTAGCCTCCAGTACTGCATTCTGACCATTGCACACCACAGAAGGGAGGGAGGGAGGGAGGAAGGAAGGAAAGGGGAAAAGGAAGAGCAATAAGCCCTTAGACTTATATACTGCTTCACGGTGCTTTTTACAGCCCTCTCTAAGCGATTTACAGAGTCAGCCTCTTGCCCCCAACAATCTGGGTCCTCATTTGACCGACCTCGGAAGGATGGAAGGCTGAGTCAACCATGAGCCTGGGGAGATTTGAACTGCCAAATTGCAGGCAGTTGGCAGTCAGCAGAAGTAGCCTGCAGCACTGCACTCTAACCACTGCGCCACCATGGCTCACAAGCTACTTCTTCTCCCCTCCTGCACAGGGTTAGTAACTCTCACCCACTCCTAGAGGTGGTCCTCACGACCATAACTGAGCCCAGAATTTACGTGCTAAGTGAGACGTTTGTGACGTGTGCTTTGCTCCCCTTTCCAATGTTTCTTCTTCACCGTTGGTAAGTGAATCAATGCCGCATTGCTCATTTGACAACGGCAGTGGTTCACTTAACAACGGTGGCAAGAAAAATGGTAAAATGGGGCGAAAACTCACTGATTCAACTTCTCACCGAGCAACGGTAGAGAACCAGCAGCGGAAATTTTGAGTAGTTTGGAAAACCGGCAAATACCACTTCTGACTGGCCCCACCAACCCCATCTATTGGCTGCCTCCCGAGTCCCAGCTGATCGGCTGGGTCTTCATTTGTTGCCCTGCACAGGAGAACGGAGCTGGAAAGCAGGTTACTGGAATGGGGAGGGAATGGTTACTGGAATGGGGAGGGAATGGGATTTTGCAGTAAGCTTCCCCTGCCATGCCCACCAAGCCACGCCCATTAAGCTACGGCCACAGAACCGGTACTAAAAAATTTGAATCCCACCACTGGTCGAGGATGACCTGTATAACCTTTCTCCCAGAAATAAGATATTAACAGAACCTACACCTGAGGTCCACCCTCAATCCGTCTGTTTTAGAGGGAAAGGAACCAATCTGCCTCTCCTTGCTTTACCTTCTTCAACTCCAGTAACAATAGAGGCAAAATTGTCATCCAGGAGAATCATGTCAGCAGCCTGTTTGGAGACATCCGAGCCAGCGATGCCCATGGCGACCCCAATGTCAGCCTTCTTCAGGGCAGGTGAGTCATTGACGCCATCCCCAGTCACGGCCACAATTGCACCCTGAAGGGGAAAGGAAGGCCGAGTCAGAAACAGGGACCAGGTGCTGTTGTGCAAAAGATGGTTGGGTGAAGATGGGAGCGATGGTTTGGAGGGAGAAAACGGCGGTAGGAAATATGTGCGTTCACCGACACTAGGTGTTTATGGAGATTCTCTGTCCATCCAGGTCAGGGTTGTCCCCAAGGTGCTTTTTTCAAGTGGCAACTGGACTTTCTGGTTTTTCTTTCAGCACTGAAGAAGCTTTGTAGATGAGAAGCAAAATGTCTTCAAAGAAAAACCAGGAAGTCCTGTTGCCATTGGACTTTCTGGTTGACTGTTGGCTTCTCACCC